CTTGATTTCCGCCTCGGAATAGTTGTGCACGATGTTCTTCACCTGGCGCCGGAGCGCGGAGGTCGTCATGGCTGGAGACTTGGAGGTGGGTGGCCCTCGCCCCCGCTGGAGATGGAGGGCTGAGGGCCACTGTGGTGAGGTCACGGTCTCGAAGGATGGGCCGCTGTGTTCTCAGCAAAGCAGCTGCGTCCTTGGGTTCCACATGGGGCTGAGGAAGAAAGGGCCAGGAATTCAGGGGCAAAGGCCTACCTTACAGGTCACTCAGCCACTGACCAAGTAAATGAGGCCTGGCCAGAGTGTCCCTGCCTCCAGGGATAGCCTTCAGCGGCACATGTTCTTATTTCACTTATAATGCAGCAGGCACTTGGAGCTTTGCATGCTCATCTATCTTCACAGTCACACCACAAAGATGCTATTGTCATTGTTTCCATCCACAGATGGGAAAGGTAGGGCTTAGAGTATTAAATGGGCCTGGCACAGTGGGTCATGCCTGTAATTCCAGGACTTCAGGAGGCCAAGGCAAGAGGATCACTTGAGGCCAGGAGCTGGAGGCTGCAGTGAGCCATGATCGTGCCAGTGCACTCCCACCTGGGCAACAGAGTGAGACCCTGTAATATTAAGTGACTTGTCCGAGATCACAGAGCTGCTACATGGGGGACCAAGACGACCCTAGGAAGCCCCACCTAAGAGTGCATGGCCTCATAGGGGAATGCTAACGGGATTCCAGGAAGGCTCGCTTGCCTTGCTTCTGCTACGCCACCGCCTCTGTTTCTGCTGAGATCTAGCTTAAGACCTGTCCTTCCCAACTCCTCAGCTCACTTTTCTCATATTGTTAATTTTTGTAGTTTGGTGCATTCAACACCTATTTCCTGGAGGCCTTTTCTGAGCCAGGCATCATGCCAGGCACAGAACACACGCCTTGGTCCACCCACGTTCAGTTGAGAGGGTACAGAAAATCACAGTCCAGTGTGGGAGTGCAGAGCCGCCCAGGAAGACCCAAGCCAGGAAAATCAGGGGAGACTTCCTAGAGGAGGTGGTGGCGGAGCTGAGATCCAAGATCCAAGGGAAGAGTAAGGAGGAGTGAACCAGCAAGTCAGGGGAGCTCAGAAGAAATGCTGTGAACTGGGCCAGAAGGCAACAAAGCAAGGATCATTTGAGGAAGGCTGCCCCTCAGAGATCTGGCCAAAGCCAACACTCCCGCCTGCCACCACCACTGCCACCCCCCACTTACACATGAAAGTGTTGAGGCCAGAGAAGGGATGAGACCTGCGTGCGTCGTATGGCACGTAAGTGGCAGAGCCTCGACTAACATCTAGGTCTCCAGAAGACTAATCTAATCCTTATTGTCAGTGTTACCCAGCTTAGTCATTAATTCATCGGTTTGCTTTACTGTCTCAGTCCCACCTTCTCAGCTAGAATGGAAGCTCCCTGAAAGTAGGAACAGTCTGGGCTCTCCAAAGCCCCAAAGCCCTGGACACATGGTGGACCTCTGCTACCCCAGCAGGGAGAAAAGCCAGGCCAGTCCAATTCGCCCCTAATAGCCGCAGGTCCAAGCTGTCTGCTGAATACAACCCCAGGCCCCAGGTCCTCCCAAGGCCCTTTCAGAAACCAAAAGAGGAATTCCCTCACCACCGCCATTCCTCCCACACTAGCGCTGGTCTGTGCATGCACACACACACTGGCTGGGCCTGCAGAGCTTCCACTTCACGCGTGGACTCTCCCCCACCCACCAAACAACTCTCGGCTCCACCCTCCATCCCAGCCCTTGCCCCAGCTGGTCCCCAGGCTGCCAGAAGCAGGAATCTGAAGGAGACCTTCCCCCACCCGACACCATGTTCCTTCCACCCCAGCCCCGCCAGTGCTGGGCTCAGTTCAAAGCGGCCCCACGCTTTGAAAACACGCCTTGGCAGGTTTTGTTTGGGGCCCAGAGAATAGGATCCTGTGGGAGCAGACGAGGTGGAGAGTGCCTGGCCCACAGCGCAGCCTACCTTTTGTCTTCTGTCTGTCTTTCCTTCCAGCGGGTGGTGGGCCTTCTGTGGGGATGCCACGCCACAACTTGTTTAACTCCTGCCCTCCCCCTTGCTAGTGACTCAGACCTGCCTTCACCTCCCCATCCCGTGGCTGGGGGTGGCAGAGTCAAGATGGGAAATAATGTGCACCAAAGCCCGCCCAGCGCACACCCCTACCGGCTGGCCACTGGAAGTAGCAGAACCAGTCGAGCACTGACTCCACCAGAGCCCTACCTGGACCTGGCTGCCCTGGCCCTCCGGCCCGGCCCAGGTAGGGGCACCAGCCTCTGGAAGGGGACTCTCAGTGTGGGCCCAGCGGCCCTGCCTGTACCTTTCTCACAGGAGGTGGGCATTCTCTGCACATCCCTGCAGGGGCTGGGGGGAAGTGTGGGGTCAGAAACATGGGGAGGCACCTTGATATTCCTTCTCTGGAGTTTGAGGGAACACGGTGAGGCTGCCAGAGCACAGAGAGGGGAGGAGGAAAGGAAGGAACGCAGGAGGGAGCAGCTGGGAGCGCTGCCAGCAGTGTTACAAGCAAAGGGTTTTATCGAACACAATATGCCCAGAAATAAAAGGGAGTGAAACAGAAACCCAGCGGCCGATAAGGCAGTGGCGGTAGCAGCAGCAGCCCTGGGCAGCTGGAGATGGAATTACTGCAGTGACCTTGAGCCGGACCCTGTCAGGTGGAGGGAAGGGCACAGAGAGGGCAGGGCCTGAGAATTCAGAGATGAGGGAGAGGACAGGGGAAGGAGGAGGCTGAGGGGATGGGAGCATGGCCAGCAGGCGGTGGGATGGGCCACGGGGCATGGAGTATCAGCTCTCGCCTACATACAGGGTCCCAAGGAGAACTGCGCAGTAGGGAGGGGCTGCTCTTCTCAGGGCCTGCAGGATGGGGGGATCTGGAGAGTTTCCCAAAAGTCAGGACCGAAAAATGCAGCTCGCTCGTCCCCAGCAAGGGCTTCAGAGAAATGGAAAGAACCCAAATCTGTCCAGTCACACGTGCATGAGTTTGCGCAAAGTCTGTGCACCCACCAGCCCAGCCCACACCCCATTCCCGTCCTCTGCTAAGGTGGGCTCCAGCCCCTGCCTCCAAATCAGGTCCAGCCTGAGCAGTGGGGAATGACAGTGCCCTTCTTGATGCTGTAGGAATGGGGGTGAGCTTGAGCTCTAAGCTTCTGGCCACTGTAACAGCTGCCTCCTGGGAGCACAGGAGATGGGGGAGGGGGGCTACCCTGAGGCTAGAGGTGTGCATGAGGGGCTGAGGAAGAGGAAACAGCAGAGATGTGCAGAAGGAGTCTGTGGGGAATGCCACCAAAGATACTAAGTCCCAGGATGGATGGGGAGGGGGCCCTGAGTCCCTTTCTGGGGGCTGCAGGGAGGGAGGGGTGGCAGGAACGAAGCCTTTAGGTCCTCTACAGCTCAGCCTTCTCCCTCGCACCTGGAAAAGAGACTAAGCCCCAAGCCCACTCTTTGCTCCCCACCAACTCCCACCTTCCATGCCGCCACTGCCAGGGAGGGGGCCAGGGAGGAGCTTACCTCCAGTGCGGGCTCCCTCGGCCCCAGCCCCGGCCCGAGTAGCCTCTGCGGTGACCCTCCAACCTGTGCAGCAGGGGGACGGCACAGCCTCGGGAGCGTCTCCAGAGCCATCCACCATGGACCCTCGTCCCAGAGACCCACCTGCTCCCAGGAGGCGCAGACCCCTCAGAGGGTCCCTGGAATGGGTAGCAGCTCTTCCCGCGTGCGTTTGCCTCCTAGCCAGCGCCAGGCAGCACTCCGAGGAAAGTTGCTCAGCTGGCCCGGCAGGTCTGCCTCAGCAGTAACAGGACACAGGAGGAAGCGCAGGGCAGGTTAACCCCTTCCTGCTGGCCAAGCAGGTGGTGCATTGAGAGGTGGGGGGCCTGCCTGTTGGCCGCCCCCAGGAAGTGCAGATCTGGAGCCAGTGCTGGTAACCCGATCCCCTCTGCTTTGAGTTAACCCTTCCCCTGCCTCTTCAACGGGAAAGGAGGGGGGCTCCACCACCCCCACCACATCACTCCCCTTCCTCCTTTGGGCCAGGAGGACATTAAAGGAGAGGGTAGGGCCATTCCCTGGGGCTGGCTTTTTGGTGGAGCCCCTGCCTTCTAGGGGAGGAGGGCATCAGGACTCCAGCACAGCCCCCTCCCTGCCTTTCCCACACGGAGTCAGATCCTGCTCTCCATCCTCCTTCTGCATCTCAACTGGAGGATCCCTGAGGCCCACTTAAGGACGCCCACCCACCCATAAACCAAAGTTGTTCTTCAAACTCTGGGAGCCTGAAGTGCTGTTCACATGGGGAACCCAGTCCCAAATGGTTATGACTGACAGAAGACAATGATGGGCATGAGTCTGAGCTGACAGTACCTTTCTGAGAGCCATTTCTAGCCTGTTTCATGTTCCCTTGAGCATGGGAGGTAGCATGAAGATCAGCAGCTGTTTTTAAGGCAGAAAGATGGCTCAAGACCAGATAGTTTGAGATGAGGAGGGGATAAGGAAGACTAGACCCCAAAATAACAAGGTGATGTGGCCTCTAGAGCTGAAGAGGTGTGGTGAGCATGATCTGCAGGGACTGAGTTGGGGCCCTGGGACCCAGCTGAAGGGAGATAGCAGGGAGCCAGGTCCCATGGGTCTAGTTCTACTCCTCATCTCACACTTTGTCATACTTGGTGATGACACTTCGGGAAGACCTGGCTCCAGGAAGCATGACCCTAAAAGTTTGGGACAAGGAAGCCAGAGGCAGGGACTACCAGAGGTGACACACTGTGTCCTGTCACCCGACTCCTTGTCTTGCTACCAACCCGCTCTTCTGCTTGGCATCCCTCACATCACCTCCCCAGCTATGTCTGTCTCTCCTCCTGCTGGAGGGCTCTGGCAGCTGGCAGGAGGGGATCTGAGGGCAGACGGGACATGGGAGGACCTGGAACAGGAGATGACCTAGCCAAGATCCATCATGTAAGACACAGAGGCACACAGAAGTAGTAGAAACTTGAAGGTTCTTTATTATTCATTAACCCGTTTTCCAGAAGGTTGCTTGGGCCCGAGAGTCACCTGCAGAGACGCAAAGGCTCCTCGACATTCTTTATGGGGCTGAGCTCATCAGCCAGGACCATCAGGTTGGTCACCAGGGTGTCCAGCAGCCCATGGACCTGGAAGAACGGGACAACGTCACAGGCAGGGTTTGCTCTGTGGGAAGCACCTATATATCAACTGTGCTGTGGGAGAATAGCTGGAGAGGGGAAAGAAACCAGTTGTTTGTGAAAGAATTTCACAAGTTCAAAGTTCTTCTGAAATAATTTTTGGTTTTGCCTTTTTTTTTTTTTTTTTTTTTTAAGACAGGATCTCTCTGTCACCCGGGCTGAAGTCCAGTGGTGTGATCATGGGTCACTGCAAGCCTTGACTTCTCTGGCTCAGGTGATTCTCCCACCTCAGCCTCCCAAGTAACTGGGACTACAGGCGTGCACCACCACACCTGGCTAATTTTTTTCTATTTTTTTTTTTAGAGATGGAGTTTCACCACATTGCCCAGGCTAGTCTTGAACTCCTGGGCTCAAGCAATCCACCTGCTTTTGCAGTTTTATTTTTGAAACCAATCTGGGGAGGTGGCCCTGCGCCGGTACCTTTGACATATGGAGGCACTGGAGCCAGGTTGTTAAAGGGGAACTCCAGGGATCCCATGGAGCAGTGCCCATTTAGCTGTTTGGGGTAGGCCTGGGCTCAGTCCCAGTTCTACTCTGGTCTTCTGGAGGCCAATTTTCCTTCCTGTATGATAACAGATCCACACACTGAAAGGTCTCTGGGACTGAGCCCTCCAATGGGGTTGGATCATACAAGCCCAGGCAAGTTGATTCTTTTTTAAATTTTTTTCTGAAGAGATGGGGTCTCCCTGTGTTGTCTAGGCTGATGTCGAACTCCTGGGCTCAAGCAATCCACCTGCCTCAGCCTCCCAAAGTGCTAGGATTATAGGTGTGAGCCACTGGTGCCTGGCCAGCAAATTGATTCTCTTTTTCTTTTTTTTTTTTTTTTTTGGAGATAAGAGTCTTGCTCTGTCACCCAGGCTGGAGTAAAATGGCATGATCTCAGCTCACTGCAACCTCCACTTCCCGGGTTCAAGCGATTCTTGTGCCTCAGTCACCCAAGTAGCTGGGACTATAGGTGAGTGTCATGCCTGGCTAATTTTTTGTATTTTTAGTAGAAACGGGATCTCACCATGTTGCCCAGGCTGGTCTCAAACGCCTGAGCTCAGGCAATCTGCCCACCTTGGCCTCCCAAAGTGCTAGGATTACAGGCATGAGCCACTGCACCTGGTCTGCTAGTTGATTCTTAATATCAAAGAGCCATGGAAGGGTCGACCCCCGTGGGTCCTCAGAGCCCTTTAATTACTTTCTAGACCCCATCAACCATCAGATATCTTAGTGATGTCACCAGTGGCAAAGGGAACTTTTGATCAAATGAGATCCAGAGTGTGAACACATATATGATGTAATCCCAGCTCCCCAGGTGTCCACCTTAGAAGAATACAAGGCGTGGCCATTAGACATACTGATATATTGAAAATGGCTTTGTGGACCTCCCTTCCAAAACAACAACAGTAACAAAAAAAACAAAACGGAAAACCTGGGTGAATCTCTAAGGACCTGCTACTTAAGAACGGATTAGGATGAAGTCTCTCTAGTCCTTCAAAAACCTTACAGTTGATGGGAATGCACCCTACATGGTGTTCTCCCAAGGAACACGTCTGCCAGGATGCACCTAACGGGGAGTAAGTGGAAGCAGCATAAAGAGAAGGGCTTCCTTCCTCTTTGTTCCCCTAGAGTCTGTTCTCCAAAGGGCAGCCAGAGCCATCTTCTAAAGCCTATCAGACCCTATCGCGTTGCTCTTCAAAACCTTGCATGACTTCTCATTTCCACTCCGAAAAATCCCAAGTCTTCACAGTAGCCTACAAACCATCCCTCACCCCTATGACCTGTTCCCCATCTACCACCCTGTCCCTTCTGGCCCCTCCCTCCTGTGGCAGTTGCTCCCCCTGCCTAAAGCACTCTTCACTGGACATCCATTTGGCCTCCCTTCCTCTCCCTTCAAGTCTTCGTGGGTTGTCACCTCCTCACTGAGGCCTCTGTGCCTCCATTCCCTGCCTGGTCTATCTTCTCTCACATCGTGCTCATCACCTAACATGCTAGGCACATTTCTTATTCATGAGGCCTGTCTCACACACAAGGATGCCCTTCCTGAAGCAGCTCTGCTTCCACCATGATGGAGTGGGCACTTATTGTTTGCAGACTGAACAGAATGAATGAGGCAGGTGGGAGGCGGGGGAATGGCTGCTGGGTGCTTCCCTTCACCTCGCTGTGCAGCCTCTGGGTGTATTTCTCCATGACCAGGGGGTCTATGGGTTCTTGAGAAGGGAGGTTGATGTCAGGGATAGGGTCTTCCGAGGAAAACCTGTCCCGACTTGCAGATTTTATGACTTTCTTGTCGTCCTTTGCCCTGTGCTTCTTGCTGTTGGGACGGTCCTGCTGGGAGAGGGACACACACACAGCCTTCAGGAGCACCAGAGGTAGGCCCAGGATGTCCTCAACAGTAGCTCACTGGGAGAGCCTGGGCACATGCCCACCTCCACAGCCCCCACATCTGCAGCCCCTCCAATCCCCTCCCCAGCCCCACCTGGCCCAGACCACGCCCCAGCATGACTCCTTCCCGAGTACCCTGGCTCCTTTCTTGTCTTCTTTGTCTTTGATCCCCAGTTGCTTCTTTTCCTGGGCTGCTCCTTTCCGCTCCTCCTTCCCAACTTTCCCCACAGGTACCTTCACTTCCATGATGGCAGGTGATTTTTGATCTAAGGGAGGTGGGTGGAAGAAAATGTGACAGGCCCCCAGCAGCCTAGTGGATGCTGCAGGCACGTGAGGAGGCTTGAGGGGAGGTGGAAAAGCAAAGGACAATAGCCTTGAGCCCTGGTAGGCGCGTGACTTCATGAAACAGGACTGTCGTGTTTCTGTGTTCTGGTCCCGGCTCTGCCATGCTCCCATGAACGACCATGGATAAGTCATTTAACTTTGCTGGGATTACTAAACCAAGGTGGTCACTAAGGTAGCTTCTGGGTACCACATCCTGGCAGCTGACAGAAGGGGGTAAGGGGCCTACTCCATGGACTCAGCCTAGCAGAGCTTCCACCATAGGAGTATGACTGGCCCAGGCACTGCTGCCTGTCCATTCAGAGAGATGAGGAGGGCTATGCAGAGGTGTGGTTGGTTGCACAAGATCTAACCTTGCTCTTCAGGCACATTCAAATAGATGGTCTCCTTCTCAGGCAGGCCCAGCAGAGACCTCAGCCACAGGGAATGGCTCACCAGGCTGTCAATCACATCTCGCCATAGCTGCAAACTAGAGGGCAAGATATAGTGGAGAAATGCCATCACTCCTCATTTGTCCTTGAACCTGCAGAGGCTTGGGTCCCTCTCTTCAAAGACCCTGGTGCCAGGAACTGCTGTGGAAATGCCACACGCCTGAGCAGCCAGCATCCTCACTGTTCCCCACCAGGGCAAGTGCTTGGAGGGGGTTCTGGCTTGCCTTGGGTGGCAACCAAGAAAAAACATGGCCCAGGACTAGGGTTAGGAGGTCTGCATGAATTCAGTCCTACTTCAAAGGGCTTGAGGCCAGGGCCAGACTTGGGCCCAGTCCCACTGGAGGGGCTGAACCTTGCATGAGACTTCCAGC